TGAGATGTCTTATAACATGTTCGATATAATTTTCTGAACGCGGATAGAGTCTAGGCTTAACTAGGAGATGGAAGAAAAGGGCCTTTTGTGGTCGAAAATCCACCGTAAGGTGATGCGGATTCACTTTCAAGTGCGCCATTTGATTTCCAAGCGTGGTTAAAGATGGGAAAGCACAGAATAACAGGAAATGAACCCAGTAAAGCAAATTAAAGTAAATAAATCAAGCTGAATTCCTGATCGACTTGATCTGTAGCGTAGCTTTTGCAATAATCTACTTTAGAAAATCTCCTTTGATCATTTCTGAAAAAAATATCTGGCTACATGCATATGGCAGAATTCGAAATACCAACTTTGAATTGAGTAATTAATGATTAATCTGCTATTATTATACCACCAGGACGCTCCATTCGCAATAAAAAGGAGAAAAGAAGATGGCGGATTTTTCTACGAAGGGTACTGTATTGATCTTCTAAATGAGCTTGCAAGAAAACTGAAATTTACCTACGAGGTTTACATTTCTCCTGACGGGAAGTATGGAGCTGAAAACGAGAACGGAACTTGGAACGGAGTTATTAATGAGATTTTGAATGAGGTACGATATGGAATTTCAGAGCGTTTTTTTTGGTTGATGGTTCAAATTATTAGAAAGCAAGTTCATTCGATAAAAATTTAGAATTACTGTGGTGTAACAGTGCCATCACTGATACATTGCCACTGTACAGTAAATAACGTTCTTGCAAGAAGAACCGATTAACATACTCAGTTTGTGAGATCGCAAATCTGTTGTGCAGAGAATGCAAGGAGGCTAAGATCCTCTTCCGAAAGAAGGTCTGCGTGAGTAACAAGGTTAAGATTAATCTTCTAAGAATTTCATTGTTATTATTATTAATATTTCCAAAGCGAACGGATATGGCGATTTCCGCACTAACTATAACTGAAAGGCGAGAGAAAGTCGTGGATTTCAGCTTCCCCTTTATGCACTTCACCACGGATATATTATTGAGGAAGCCATCTTTCGGAGAAAAAATTGACCTTTCCCAGTTTATGGCCCCGTTTGATAATCAAGTCTGGTTCGCTACCTTGGCCACCTTGGTAATCATCTCCATTGCTGTGTTTGTATTAAACTTCTACAGTCCTTATGGATATAAAGATGATAATGGCCGAGGCACATCAAAAGAGTTCAGCTTCTTCAACAGTATGTGGTTTGCTTTAGCTTGTATGCTGCAACAGGGGGGAGATAATACACCAAAGAGCCTATCAGGTTAAGTATATATACGTATACTAGTAAAGATATCCAGTAAAGGAGATGATTCTGCAGAATTCTCGTCATAATAAACGTGGATTACATGTTTTGAACAACAATTTTTCATAAGTCATTCGTACGTTTCCGTGTAATGTGCGGTTCTATGACTGTGGTTAGGGCGGGGCAGTTTGGTTTGAATTTCATTGCACCAGCCATTAGACAGACAGTATTCCTTAAACCCAAAAACTAAGCTTGATATTTTACTCTCAATTATCCTCAGGTCGGATACTCGTTGGTTGTTATTGGTTCTGCATATTAATCTGGGTCTCGACGTACACTGCCAACCTGGCAGCTTTTTTCACTGTAAAAAAGGCCGAGCATCCAATAAATAACATTGAAGACCTTGTGAAATCGTCTTATTCGGTAGCAGTGCTTGATTCATCTAGGNTCCCTAGGCGCGTGAACTTCTTGACTTTGAAATATGATATAACTCTGTACTGCACTAGTTAATATACTACTTCCTGAAGGTATCTAAAAGATAGAAATGCTGCAGTACATTCTGTTGTTAGTGAAATAATTTACGCAGTGCTGCGGATTCCAAGACGTGCATTGAGAAACATATCTCAGAAGACATTTTCTGCGAGAGAGAAAGCAAGTATACTCTAAAAAATTTTTCCTCTGTGCCCCCGTACATGCAGAAGAAAAATACTGCCTTTTCAGTAACATGATCTCATCCGGCTTTGCTAAACCTCAAGAACATACAGAGGGGAAATGGCATCTTAAAAGTAACCCTTATTATTGCATCATAAAGGAAGGAAAAGTCATTGAGAAATATCCTAATAAGAGCTTAACTTTGAGGGCAGGTTTAAAAGCGCTGGCGAATGGCAGGGGTCGCACAAGCCTAGGGAAGGTGTCTTTTTTATTGGGGGTTGGGTGGGGGAGTTTTAGAATTTTTTGGCGACAAAAATCGTAGCCCTCCCACCTCCCAGAATGGATTAATGCATGACCCTTCACAAATAAATACACAAAAACATCTGACCCTTCCCCCACCTCCTCCAAGACAAAAGTAACCGGAAGTGAAAATAACTAACCGGAAGTGTTACTTACATAACTGCGTCTGCGCACAAAGCAATTAATTGGGTGGTGTGTGATTGCACTGTGAAAATTTCAAAATGGGCAAGGATGTACGAGGAATAAAAAGAGGGAAATGTGCTTGTGGTGAATCCGAGGATTTCATGAGGTCAGATGGAGCAACTTGTGGTTATTGTAGTTGTAAC